TGTATTTTAATTCTGAACCCGAGAATAGATTTATATATCTATGAACATTAGCATCCACATACCTTCATGTGGGTTGTAAGCTCGTTGGTCAGACTTATTCTATAAAAGAATCAGCAAAATTTAAAACCCAATATATTTTTTTATATTAATGATGTATATTTAATTAATTTTTTTTAATGTAATTTTTAACCAATTTTTATCTTATTAAATTTATATTTTACTATCTTCTTATTCTATTCGTTATTGTAAATTTAATACATTTAGTTTCCGTTTAAATGTAGATTATTAACGTTAAGCCAATGCACTAATTTTGATATAGCATTATTCACTTCGTCACATTTAAATGATTGACGTTTAAGTTTAAAAATCAAGGAAGTATGATCAGCAAATAATACTATATCATGATTAAAAAAAGAAATAGGAATGGACCGAGAATGGAGCCCAGAGGGACACCCATTAGTACAGGTTACCCGGAAGAACGTTTACCATTGATAATAACTATTCATATTTATATCATCCATTACAATCTATAAAAGTCCATTCCTGAACATAGGCCTCCTCTATAGATATTTATATCACATTCTATTCATATTTTGTTATATTTCTATTCCCGAAGTTAGTTAACCAATCATGCTTGTAAGCCAGGCAGGTGGGTTTGCGAGCGCTGGCACTGGCTGCTTCCGATCACTATTTAGTGAAATTTGGATTTAGCGTTTCTGGGATGGATTTTTCACTTTAAATTGATGGTCTCGTCCGTACGTTAATCAGCTGAGTGCATCGCTTGCACGCATGGTTGGAGACTTGAAAAAAAAAGGACTAATATTCCTCTTTCAATCCCATATTCACATATTCTATTTTATAAAATAAATTTTAAAATTTTAAAAATTTGTACAACCGACTTCAATATATATTATTAAGGATAACACAAAAACTATTGGTCAGACCTTGATCAAGCACCAGCTTTTAAATAAAAAAAGAATCATCGAAATCTGTTCACGCAGAACAGCTATGACGTAACACATAAAAAAAAACATACAGTCGAATTGAGTAGGTACCTCCTCTTTTTTTGAAGTCGGTAGAAAATACCATTGTGATCGGATCGGGCAGAAATGTATTGTTTAGGTATTGCTAAAGTCTACAAATTTCGAAACAAACTTCACCGAAATAAGTCGTAAATCTCTACTATTTTGCAATGTTTTCATCACTTAAAAATTATCTTACCTCTTAAGCTAATGCTTGTAATGTTACTCATATTACCAATTGCTGATTATGCTGATGTGTGTTACCTTGACTTGAAGCGCCCTTTCATCGCAATATCGCACGCGCCTTAAATGACTATAACACAGAGGCGTAACTCTAGAATTTTGTTTGTTCTCTTCTCAATTTAATTTGATCCTAATATTCCTTTTTATCTTAAAGCTAATACAGTTTTAGCTTCTCTTACACATGAGACATCAGTAAGTATGGATATTGGACAATGCTGTAATTTACTCTCGTTGTTTGATATTTTTATTATGAATGTATGCGTTATACATATATGTACTCGTAGTACAAAGTATTAGGCTCCGTAGAGACTAGCCGCCGTGACCTAAAATTCGGTCTGGAGGTCATTATTATTACGAATATTAGTAGTATAAAATATAGTATGTGCATTGTTAAATCGATAAGGTCTCCCAATAATATTATTCAGTACTTATTATAGTTGTTGTGTTGTTTATTTTATTTCTCATGACTTTTATCTTTTTTTGTGTTTGTTATTATATTTCTCCATATCCGGGGAAGAGAATTCAGGCATTAAGTTCCTTTGTGACCATTTTCATTATTAATGTGATAAAAATCAAATTTGAACAAAAAATATAATATACGGGGTGGAGAATACAGGAATTATTAATACAGGGAGGATTTTACGTGGTAGAGCCATGCTGCAGCTATATTAGTAACATAGTTGTAGTACGAATGGGTCGGCTCGAACGGAGAAGGACCACGCTCTTACAGAATACCAGCGTAAAATAGCAGCTTGACACTGCTGTGTTTCGTATGGTGAGTGTAGAGAACCGGATACCCATTTTACTGGAAAAGAGGCATTCCATCTTAGTCCTTACGGGTGACGACGCATCTGCATTTTGGTTCTTTGTTGAGGATAAATGTAGGTGTCTATGGGCCACAGCAACCACTTACTATCAGGTCGACTGTGTGCTCGTTTGTCACCCTATCCTATAGCGTACGTGAGGGTAATATGGTCATCCGGTTAATATGGTCACTTTTTTATAACTCAAAATCTACAGTCTTGTTTGCATAGATGGCTCTATGATACGATAGCTTTCCATTATTCAATCAAATATTAAAAGGTCATAAGGGCGATGATTTATCGACGCCATTTTGAAAGGTGTTCGATTTCGCGCGGTCAGAATTTGAAGTATTGCTTATAATTTATTAAAAAAAGCTGTGTTCTGTCAACTTTGTTGTTTTAAGACTTATCATACCGTATTCATCATTCATCATCATCATTACAGCCCTTCACAAGTCCACTGCTGAACATAGGCCTCCCCCAAAGAATGCCACAAAGCACGGTCCTGAGCCACCTGCATCCATCGACTTCCTGCATGTCTTACCAGGTCGTCACTCCATCTCGTGGGGGGACGCCCTACACTTCGCCTACCGGTACGAGGCTGCCACTCGAGAACCTTTCTTCCCCATCGGTTGTCGGTTCTTCGAGCTATATGGCCGGCCCACTGCCACTTCAGCTTACTAATCCGTTGGGCTATGTCGGTTACTCTGGTTCTACTGCGGATATCCTCATTCCTAAGTTTATCACGCAGAGAAACTCCGAGCATAGCCCTCTCCATAGCTCGCTGAGCGACCTTGAGCTTCCTCATACGGCCAGCAGTGAAGGACCACGTCTCAGTTCCATAAGTCATCACTGGCAACACGCACTGGTTGTATAATTTCGTTTTCAAGTTTTGAGGTATGTCTGACGAGAAAATGTGTCGTAGCTTCCCGAACGCTGCCCAGCCGAGTTGAATCCGTCGATTGACCTCTCGGTCGAAGTTGGACTTACCTAGTCGGACTATTTGTCCCAGGTAAACATAATCGTCAACAACTTCGAGCTTAGTGCTCCCAACAACTACCGGCATAGGTGTGACATGGACATTGAACATGATCTTTGTTTTGTCCATGTTCATCTTAAGACCTATCCGTTGGGAAACACTATCGAGGTCATTGAGCATAGTGCTTAGGTCCTCCAGCGATTCTGCCATAAGGACTATATCGTCGGCAAATCGAAGGTGAGTGATGTACTCGCCATTGATGTTGATACCGTATCCTTTCCAGTCCAGAAGCTTGAAAACGTCTTCCAATGCAGCGGTGAAGAGTTTCGGGGATATGACGTCACCCTGTCTTACACCTCTCTGCAATTGGATAGGTTTCGTACTCTGGTTCTGTACTCGGATAGCCATCGTAGCCCTACTGTACAAGCACTTCAACACTTCGATATACCGACAGTCAACTTGGCACCGCTGAAGGGACTGCAGCACCGCCCAAATTTCGACGGAATCAAAGGCTTTCTCATAGTCCACATACGCCAGACATAGTGGCAAATTGTACTCTTCGGACTTCTGTACAATTTGCCGAAGGGTATGTATGTGGTCTATGGTGCTAAAGCCCTTTCGGAAACCGGCTTGTTCGGGAGGCTGGAAGTCGTCAAGTCTGCGCGCGAGACGATTCGTAATGACTCTCGAAAACAGCACGTAGACGCGGCTCAGAAGGGAAATCGGTCTGTAGTTCTTCAAGAGAGCGTTGTCACCTTTCTTGAAGAACAAGACCACCGCACTTCTGCTCCACGCCTCCGGTGTAATGCCACCATGGAGGACGGAATTAAAGAGCTTCTGAAGGACTTCAAGTACCGGTCTTCCACCCGCTTTCAGAAGCTCCGCTGTAATTCCATCCTCGCCTGGGGCCTTACCGTTTTTAAGGTGCTGGAGAGCCATTCTAATCTCGCTCAGACTGACGTCCGGGATATCTTCGGAATAGTGTCGGATGAGACTCGCTCTTGGATCGTTACTCACACTTGCGTGTGGCTCCAACGATGACGTGTACAGCTGCCCATAGAACCTCTCAATCTCACTCAAAATCTCAGGTGTCCCGGAAACGATGCTGCCACATTCTGTCTTCAGCTTTGACAGGTGGCTCTTTCTGAATGACAAGCTCGTGGAAACTGTCCATGCGGTCGGAGCTAAGTTCTGCAAGACCCGCCGCAGAAGAACACAAAAACTCTCCGATTACACTCTTAATCTCATGGCTGTTAGACGGGAGATAAAGCTACATTCTTCAACAGACTTTGAAAGAAAAAAAAAATATGATAAATTATTTATTTACTTACCTATAATTCATACCGTATTATAGGTAAGTAAATAAATAATTTATCATATTTTTTAAATAGTCAAGTGTCCGTAATGGTCTTCTAAATATAGTTTTTTGTTATTCGTAAACAAAGTGAACAAGTACTGCTCTGCTAATATGGCCACCGAAATGACCATATTTACATAATGAAAATAGTAAAAAAAGTTTTAGGATATTTTGTTAGGATTATCTAATTAAGTAATAAGGCTTAATATTATTTTTTCAGATTATGGGTTTACATTTAGAAAGGATTAAGAGGAAACTGGCGTCAGGAGGATCTCCAAGCAACTTTTAATGCAGTTGCAAATGGACAGAAGGTAAACACCGCCGCCAAAGAGTTCAAAATGCTAAGGAGAACCCTTAAAAGGTACTTAGAGACAAAACAAATTCTAAAGTCTCATCTTGGTCGCAAATCACTTCTCTCTTCAGAACAGGAAAATGAATTGGTAACGCGTATTAAACCATTAGCAAGCGTTGGTTATCCTATAACACCAAAGTTATTGAGAATATCTGTGTATCAATATTGCAAACTCAACAAAATTAGTATACCTAAGTCAACTGAAGGAAACGGTAAAGTTGGGCGTGGCTAGTTAATAGGATTTATGGAACGTCACGAAGATCTTTCTTTGAGAAAAAGCCAAAAGTTAAGTCCTGCTAGGGCACAAAAGCTTAACAAGTTCGTGGTGGATGATTATTTTAAAAAACTCAAGGAAATAATGGAGAAGTTGGCTGTGCAAGATAAACCGGCTCACATTTACAACATTGATGAAAAGGCCTGCCAATTGATGCTTCACAAAAGTTCTCTAGTTTTGGCACAAAAAGGTGTAAAGCGAGTCCACACACTAGCTTCGGAACATGCTGAAAATGTAACTATTGTTTCCTGTGGAAATGCTAACGGTAACACCATACCACCTATGATCCTCTTTAAAGGAAAGAGATTGAAACCAGAATGGGAATATAATTTACCCCCAGGCTCTTTAGTAGCAATGACTCCAAAAGGCAGTATGAACTCTGAAACATTTGTGAAATGGATACATCATTTTGCAAAATTCAAGACTCCAGGTCCATGTTTATTGATATTCGATGGAGCATCTAGTCACTTAGATTACAATATTGTAGACGTTGCAGATAAACACGACATTACTCTATTATGTCTTCCAAGTAACACAACGCACGAACTGCAACCCATGGACAAGGCTGTCTTTAGAGCGTTTGAGCATTACTGGGATCAAGAGCTTCAGAAATTTCGGTTCCAGAACAAAGACAAAGCTCTGACAAAACAAAGATTCGGGAGGATATTTACTCCAGTATGGGACCAAAGCTCTTACCCCATCTAATATAAAATCCGGATTTGAAGCTACTGGAATGTATCCATTCAACCCAGATAGAATTCCGGAATGTGCTTATGCTCCTAGCATTCCAACTCACTTATCAGAAGCAGGTGAACCGGAGAGCAATTCTGATGAAAATAATGCAGCAAGCATTATAAATGCAGCTTCTGTACTTAATGATGAGAGTTTCAGTTACGAAGATAACGTCCCTTTAATTTTGTTTCAAAGCAATGAACAACAAAATGTGCTTTCATCTTACATCAGAGATGAACCAGCACCATTGGCTTCCCTGTAAGTCATAGAATTAAAACCCGTGAACCCACCAGTGTTCGATAAACCGGGGCCTTCGAATTCTGTATGCTCTGTTCAGTCTATATCTTCAACTAATGAAGTCGTTGTTCAGCCTATAGTTTCCTCCACGTTATGCAATGTTCTGCAGCTGATATTGTCAACATCTTCCAGTAATATAAATGAAGCGGGCAATGTGTCCTTCACAGATATGATGAAGACACCTGAAAAAAATTCTTCCAATAAGTCACAACGACGCAAAACAATTAACAGTCTGGCACAGCATTTGACAAGGTCGATGTTCGCTAAGATAAATCCTACAGTAGTAAATACACCATCAAGCATAAAAGCTTCCCATCCGGGGAAGAGACGCAAACAAGCTACCAAGCAAGCGCAATCATGGTGTTGCTTCCTCTGTAAGGAAGACAGAGTAGCAGACATGAGGCTCTGCAAATGTAGTGGTGTTTATGTACATGAAGAGTGTGTTGGATTAACAGCAGAAGATAAAGAAAGATACATGTGCCCAAAATGTGAGAATTAATTTACGTGGAAAATTCATACTGTTAATATGGACACATAGTGACCATATTTTCAGTGTATGCGGTAAATATGGTCACTAACTATTATTTTTTTAAACTTGATTTTTGAAGTGTTCCTAATTCTTGCCAAAGTTTGTTTTCTATTTTTTTCTTAATATATTAGTTATAATTTAAGATTTTGTGATTTTGTCTCTGTCCTGTTCCTAGTTTTGGTTGTATAGGGCGGCAAAGCTTAACGTGACCATATTAGCCCCACGTACCTTGTAAAAAAAAGAAAACCGCACATTATTTTTGACATATTACTGTCAAATCATAACACTAAAGAAGTAGTATGGTAAGTCATTCTGGCAGCATCGTACATTAGAGAGTAGCCTAACGTTAAAGTTAAATTACACGTTCAAAAATAAAGAGAAATAAAAATATTAGTATATGAAGCATAATTATACAATATTTTATAGTCGCCATATAAGTTTTAAATATCACTTGTTTATAGGCTATACTTTGTTTAGATTATGTAAGGACTAAGATCGTAAAATCTATTCCTGGATACAGTTACATCGTACACAACTCCGACTGTATTCATATGTTCAAATAACAACCCACTATTTATAAAACCATACAAAATGTTTATTGACTTTGTAGCAAAATATTTATAAAATAATTGTAGTAAAGAGAAACAACGTATATACTATAATATGTGAACTAAAATTGCTAATTATTTTAGTCCAAAATAATTGGATTATTATTTTAAAATACTATTGAAAATTTTATCGACCAAATGTCTACTAAAACATTGCGGTATTTCGCAAAATTGATCACAAATTTGAATAACCGTAAGGCTATATTTACTCGATAAACGTAATCCAATCGTAAACAAGAATTGTACTTTACACAAATAGCCATGAAACCATTGAGTAAAGTAATTAAGATAAGTTTATTGACTCATTTATATTCTGCAATGACACATTGAATGTCGGTGGTGCGTTACTGTCCAAGCAATACTGTTTACAGTGAAATGAAAACAAAGTTTATAAACACTTACTTCTGTTCGTTTGTTCGAACGGATATGACGCAAAAATTACAAAGTTATTGATAGCAAATTTCCAAAAACTCGGAGTCTTTAAATAAAACTTATACCTCAAACATTCTGGATCGTCAAAGAAAACGTATAAAATATGTATATCCTAAAATATATTTGCAATATTTAGTACTTTTTCTTTTAATGAAGACAGTTATGGTTTAGGGCACGCATATTATTAAATCTGACAGCTTTGGACTTGGTGGCAAGGGCAAGACTTTGTTGAGATATGAGTCAACTTCATCACGAACTCGAACATTTGTTAATTTATAGGTAACATTTCAATGCAATTTGAGAATGATAATGGACACACAGGACGTTGCGATAGGACAGTATGGAAAATCTAAACTTTTGATTTTTACTTTTTTTCCAATTCAACAAAAAAATTTTCGAATATTTTGAATGTGATATTTACTTTCTTGTTAATCCCATGGCTACGTTATAGTTTTTTTCTAACTGTTAATGATAAGATTTTTTTAAAGATAGAAAGTCTTCATATAGCGCGATTTGAGCGACTATTGTACAATTTTCAGACATTATACATTATACTTAAATTTATTTTCCTTCTATATGTATACTTCAATACTAATAATAATCAGTATTTTAAAAATGTTCATTTATTTACATTTTTATTATAACAAAATATAACAAAAAAAAAACGAGATAAAAATAAATAATCATTCTTCGATCACGCGTAAAGGTTACACGAACTAATAATTTTTTTCAAAAATTTCTATCTAAAGGCGCCTTTTTAATAATAATTTGGGTTCATTATCATTCAACATAATTTAATTCCACTTCTACAAAAACGATCACTTAGCTTTGTGGTATTTCTAATATAATAAGTGCCGCGAAACCTTTTTCAGCCGCAACGGTCCAGCAGGATAATGGCCTTCTCCATTATAAGACAAATATGCTGTAATGGTCGCGCTTGGTAGGATATTTGGCGATTGCGGATTTCTGGGTTTTTCACATCTAGAAAATACGAGATTATATCTTTCTATCGAAAGCCTTAAGGCATTTCAGGCCTTTCCCATAGTCGCTCTCAGAACTCGCGTGGGATATAATGGGGGTAATACATCCTCTTACGCCACAACCTTAATACAATGCAAAATATTATTTCAGTATTAAATCGTAAATTACAAAATCGAATTCAAATGTTTTAGCAACAAGTCTCCTTCGATCTCGAATTGAATCACAAATTCGTGGAGTTTTATAAATAGTAGCGATGTAAATAAATGAAATGTTCCATTTCGTTCGGTGGCACAATTTTCCTTTTAAACGAGTTTTATAATTTAACCAGATATCCGCCGCGGCTTTGCATGTTTGATTTCTGAATCTGAAAAACAGCACCTACCATGTCCAATTATGAATCTAAACAATTCTCGGATCAACTTAATCACACACACAATATTTCAGCAAAATCAATCCAGCCCTTTAGGAGAAGTACAGTCACTTACAGACTGACAGAAAATATATAAGGATTATATATATAATGAATATATATATAGGAGACCGCGTAATAATTGTTACATTAAATTCCTAGCTGAAGTTGAATTCGATCATTCATTGCGCATTTAGTATGCAGTCACCGTTACTCTAACATTACATCGAATATTTTATCTAATGAGGTTTCCCGCCGGATTTGTAAATACGAGAACAAGAGAGCCATATATAGTATGGATATAGTGCATGATCATAGATAAATTTTTCAAGTGCGTGTATACACACATAAACTTTCGCGCCTGTCACCCACAAGGTAAACACAAACTACGGACTTTCTTTTGACACGACCCCGACACGTATCTCTCGCTTCTTTTACATCTACATATACATATATCTTATGCTCTTCGGTTAAGCGTACCCTTAACTAGGGCTATCTTCAATATTTCGCCAATTTTTATTAAACTTCCATCTAGGACATCCTTTGTCGATTCTGCCACTCACTTCTGCAGTATAAATGTGCTTTGTTACTCTTTCATCAATCAATCTTTCCAAGTGTTTTTTTTATAGGATAGGGTGACAGACGAGCACACAGTCCACCTGATGGTAAGTGGTTTCTGTGACCCATAGACATCTACATCTATCCTCAATAAAGACTCAAGATGCAGATGCGTTGTCAGCCGTGAGGACTAAGATGAAATGCCTCTTTGCCAGTAAAAGGGGTCTCCGGTCCTCTACACTCACCATACGAAACACAGCAGCGTTCAGCTGCTATTTTACGCTGGTTTTCTGTGAGAGCGTGGTCCTTCCCCGGTCGAGCCGACCCATTTGTGCTACAACTATACTACAAATATAGCTGCAGCATGGCTCTACCACGTAAAAAAAGTGTCAAAACTGTTATAAAACAATAAAAATAAAAGTAATTAGGGTGACTGTCACTCCTAAGAATGTTTTATTACGGACGATTAAGGTTAAACTGCATTTCTAAACACCATAAGCTTATCTTCAACTTAAAAATAAAACTTAAAGTCCGCAGACATGACTTCAAACACGAAAAAGGGAGCAATAAGAATTCAGTAGGTAAAGGAACGTTTAGAATTAGTATTTCATTTTTATAATGCTACTATATTAATGTTTTATTAACTTACATCACAACACAATATTTTTTGCGGTGGGTGACAAATAGCCCACCTGATGTTAAGTGGACATCTACCTCGATTAAGAATCAAAATGCAGAACTCCTGAGGACTAAGGTGGAATGCCTCGTTTCTAGTAAAAAGGGTCACAGCAGCATTAAGCTGCTATTTTACGCTGGTATTCTGTGAGAGCGTGGTCCTTTCCCAGTGGAGCCGACCCATTCATGCATTAAACGTAATATAGCTGCAGCGTGGGTCTACCACATATAAATACATTTACCGGCAATTATAAATAATCGACATTAAGACCCTGCTAAATTTAAGAAACAGCGTAGGTAATTATGATCTCTTCGCCAGTTTCAGCCACGGTAACAAATCCCGAATACTGTCTGATTTGAAGTGATCAGCGACGCTGTATATATTGGTAGTAGAGAAAGTGTAAACATAGAGGCATCATATAAAAGCTTTTAGAAAAATTTACTTCGCAAATATCCGCGTTATAAAATAAAATGATGTGTCTTGCCTAGTACGAAGAGCACCTCCCGCCCTCCCTCAATTGCGTGCACTATCCCCGTCACCACTAATCCCAGCACCGCTACTCCCAACACCACTACACTAGGCAAGACACACCACTGACGATAATACGACACGTGTTTCGCCTCTACACGAGGCATCCTCAGGTGATATAGACTCTACGGTGGCTAACCGCTATCTTAGCAGTTAGCCACCGTAGAGACTATATCGCTATCTTATTGGCGACGGGGATAGTGCACGCAATTGAGGGAGGGCGGGAGGTGCTCTTCGTACTAGGTAAGACACATCATTTTATTTTATAACGCGGATATTTGCGTTATTTGTATTTGCCTTAATTCAAAACAATTTCCGCAAAGTAACGCCTGATACTATTAATTATAGAGGCATCAATCCATCCATACCTAACCAAGCCCGATGTTAAGCCTATGCAATCATATCGCAGGAGGGATTATTCGTCGTGTCAGAGATACCGTAATAATCACAGCATACTCATTAAAATCCTTATCATCCTTTACCACGTCACATACTTTGCCAGCACGTAAAGAAAAGGACATGACTTTTCCCTAGTACTTATCTGAACTTTTTTTTAGAGAACATCGTGACAAACGAATACACAGTCCACCTGATGGTAAGTGGTTGCTGTGATCCATAGACCCATAGACATCTGTCCTCAATAAAGAATCAAAATGCAGATGCGTTGTCACCCGTGAAGACTAAAATGGAATGCCTCTTTTCCAGTAAAAAGAGTCTCTGGTTCTCTACACTCACCATACGAAACACATCAATGTTAAGCCGCTATTTTACGCTGGTA